CCCCCCAAACAAGCCGCTATCATCATCAAAAGACCCGCACTCGCTCTCTGCCTGGCTCTGAGCGCTGGTTTAAGGGGATGAAGCGGGTTTAACACCAAAACAGAGCAGCCTCTTCTCCGCCTCAGCACCTGGAGGTGTGCTGCTGCTGCTGCTGTCCTCGACAAATCACGATGCGGACTCCTTTCTGTTGTCAGCACGAGCACACGAGAAAGGCTCTGCAGAAATGTCTAAACCTGCGCGTCAGGATGGTCCAGACGCGCTAAATAAGAAATAAAACGCAGCGACTGCTTCTGCGGTGCCATCAGCTCTCACCTCAATACAGGAGTGCTGTCATGACGCTGGCGTGTCTGAGGCGATCCCGGTAAGGTTGTTCACTTTTCGGGATCAAACATGGTCATTCCCCGGGCTCGGCTGCTGTCTTTACGCGAGCTCACAGCCGGTCAGCTCTACCTCCATCTCCGCTCGACGCACTATGCTGCTCCTGCTGAACGCCTGGCTCCGCTCTCCACAGACCACCATCAACCGGGGAGAGTCACAAAAGCTGCTACTTCCGCTTACTGCTTTCAGAATAAAGCTAAATGTTTAAGGGGAAGGAATGAGTTGCCTGTAAAAAGCTTGATTATATATGTTCACAGACACGCCAAAAGTAGCTGTGTCTGGGTGGAAATTGGAGGACGAGGACATTTTTTTCCTAAGATATTAACATGATGTGTGACGTGCCAGTTGTTCTCCAGCTCCTTATTGTGAATTATGGAAACCTGAACAAGCTTGGTCAATCTGACAGAACAATGGGATCATGTGGTTTTGTTGATTTTTTAGTTGTACTTTTATAATCATATTCTGGAAAGCACTATGAAATACAGACTAATGTTAGGTGAATGTATTGTAACACAGCTATGATTTAGGCGAATTATATATACCACAAACTTGTCATTTCAAACCAAAGTAATCTTGATTTATTATGTATGAATTACCCAAATTATTACTAGAAAACAGGAAAAATTTCTTATATAAATAATATTAAACTAAACTAAGGTGGTACTCGGTTACTGAGTCCTTTTTTAGAAAGTAATGTGCGTTCAGGAAAATAAAAAAAGGAAGTATACCACAGATTCCCCAAATAACATAATAACTAATAATAAAAAAAAAATACATTTTATAAACCTCTGTAGCAAAACAGAAAAGTGTCCTCCAAATAATTTCAGTTAAGTTCAATCTCATTTATATCGCACCAAATTACAACAACAGTCAGCTCAAGTGGGTTTATTCTGTAAGGTAAAGGCCCTACAGAGAAAACCCCCCTCCCACAAAAGCAAGACTTTGACAACAGTGGGAAGTAAAAGAAACTCCCTTTTAATAGGAAGAAAAATCAAATTCACTTAGGAGTGAAAGGTTGGGGGTGAGTGGAAGAAGACAAGAATAGATTAATAATGAGTGATTAATAAATTCAGTGATGATGATACTCTGCAGTGTTTCTACTTGTTGGTCTAGTAGAAAACGAGCTTCTTGCTGTTTTTATCATTAGTTTTATGATCAATCAGGATTTTTATCAATATAAGAGAAAATTTTCCTGGGAAGTAACAAAAGTGGGGCCTTTTATAGTCTTGCTTTTAATGCAACTTTCAGATCACACAATGCTGATTTCTGTATATACAAACATACAGACACATTTGTTCTTCATTGGGTGATCACAAACTTACTGAAGCCTGGTTTCTATGAGTTATAGTGCACTGCGCTTTCCGTTATCTGAACATGGAAATACAGAACTGAAAATACACGCTGTGCAGTTAAACTGCTTGGTTCCTTAAAATCATTTTTAAAGATAACTCACTCTTTGTTCAGATTTAGCATCCACAGAAAACACACACACACACTTTCGCTCCAAATTTTTGAATCACTTTCAGCATTATCACGAGGGCCTTTTATTTTGAAGGCGCATTAAAATGCTGTCATTTTCTGTGTGTCTTTGGTTGAATTGACCGCATCTTCCTGCACTGGGGGGGCTATGTGTGCGTGTGTGTTACACTGATCTATTTAACACTGCCCTTAAAGGAGCCACACCCTTTTATTGTTACCACTGACACAATGCTGGATGCCCTGTTTATCTGTGCGTGCTATTTAAAGAATAAATACATGCAAAAATACATTTATTAGTTTGAAAAACAGGATATTTGATCCATTCTTCAGAGCGTGCACAGACACAGGGGCATATAAACAAATCAGCTGACCACAGACCCAGATTCACAGGAGTGGAGGACAGTGTGGGCGTCTTAAAGGAGTCCCACCTCTTCCTCGTGTTGCCCTTTAAACCAGAAACCCCAAAACAGCACTGGAGCAGCTCACCAGGGGTTCCAGGACAGCGTGTCAAACATCTAATTTTACTCTTCTGTTTGCTTTGTGTTGTCAGAGCTGGTGATTAAACTGATACTGAATACTTTTATCACTTGAGAGGTGATCACGAGGTCACATCAGCATGAAAGCAAATGAGGTCTGTAATGTGAACATTAACACGATAATCAGGGATCCAAAACATAACGAAGGAAGGAAAGCTAGGATCTGATGTGCCACAAATTAACACCTTCAATCCAAAACAATTAAATCTGTCCATAAAAACATGAAAACATGTTCACAGTTTCGTAACTCTCTTCCTCCTGCTCCTCCTCAGTAAGAACTATAATCCAGAGTACATCCTATGTGGGGTTAGGGATTAGGCTCATACTTCAGGGAAGTGACAGAAAACCACAGACAAAATGGGAAATGACATTTCCCTCTGTGCATGTAACAGAAGTATTTTCAGATGATCTTTTCTTCCATCACTTGGCTGAAGAAAGCAAACAGGTCATGTCCGCAACATCTGAAATAAAAACCTTGGGTGATGGGGGTTTAGTTTTTCTTTAAGGGGGGTTTGTCTTCAAGGGTAATATCTTTTCCAGTTGGTAAAGCTCTTTGAGCTGTGTTTCAAACATGCAAGGTTAAACAAATAAAGTCAGTTTGTCCTTTATTACATAAATGTTGTTTGGGCCAAATTAGGCTTTTCACGTGGCTCTGTGATGTTTCCGTCTCAGTGGTAGGGGCATACAGAGTTTAGCTTCATGATAATCCTCCCTGAGAGGATTGAGTCTGGTGGGGGGGTTAAGGACTAAAATAATGGCCTGGTCAGGCCACAGACAGGTGGTAGTGGGAGTGGATGAGCTGATTTGAAAGGTCAGTATTTAATCTGAGTGTTTCCTCTACACCTGCTTTAAGTCAGAGCAGTCACGATGTGATCTTGTTTTTTGAACTCTTTTCTCAGCCATTAAGCAGCTCTAAGTGATCTGTGTAATGATTAGCAGTATAGACAAACGATTAAAGAAAAGCATGGTGATTTAAAGGGTGCCAGTTTTATGGCTTCAACGATTTACAAGTCTTTGTAAAGTACTAAAACCAGCCCAGAGACTTGGTGTCTGATGAATATGGTCCCAAGAAATCATGAATTTAGATGTTTTGTGTCACTGTCTCAAGAGAGACTACACAGAATTACCTTAACACCTGGCTCTTAGTTCTTATGACTTGACATCTGGAAAAATTTGGCTTTTATTTCACTATAAAAATGTCTTATCAGCTTATATATGTTGTGTCTTTTTATTTAATACAGTATGAAGTAAGCTACTTTGAGCTGCTCCTTTATTTCCCGAGGGGTTGCCACAGCAGATCGATCTGCACGTTTGGTTTGGCACAGAGTTTTTTTTGCCCTTCCATCTATCTGGGCTTGGGACCAGCAGTACATTAGCTCGTAAGCCCCTGAGGCTGGGTTTGTCTCTCCTGCTCTGCTTTGAAATGAGGATCCTTTGCATGTAAAGCAATTTTTACAAAATATTTTCTTAAATCCCTTAAATATTCCATGGCATGGTTGAAGGATTCATGTACATTAATGCAATAAATATCCAAAAAAAAAAAAAACAAGCTACCAAGGAGGGGAAAAATTGTCAGAAGACCGAAAGGTCGGTACTAAAACTGGACTCAGGGGCAGGAACCCAGAAGAGAGACAGGACGTTTCACAATGTTTATTAGTTAAATTTGAAAGCGTGACAAGGACAGAAGGCAACAAAAACACAGAACTTAACGTTGCGAGGCCTAGTTAACGTGGCTAGGTGGATATGGATCTACAGAGGGGGAATTGGGCCAGAGATGCAGAGTGGAAGGGGGCAGTTAAGCAGACATACTAAGGAGAGAGGACATTGGAGTTAGGGAGGTAGTGGAGAGGAGCTCTGAAGATGGTGAGTATATTATATAACTTTACTTACTTGCAGGTGGAGGAAGTGAGCGATGAGAGGGGGTGACGTGAATCCAGAGTGAGCTGAGCGATGTGGAATGGCTGACCTGAGATCCGGAGGGTCACTCTGGTTTGATTGCCTGCAATCAGCTCCAGGTGTGTGGAACTGGAGGAGGAGGTGGCCCTGCCCAGGGGTGGATACCAGGTAGACTCAGGAGCCTGATGGAAAATTCCAGCCACACAAATACTTTTTCACAGTACTGTAGTAGCAGTCCACCCTTCTTTGCAAATATGGACACTTTTCACACAAAACCCAAGATGGTAGTTGCAATAAAAGTAAGCCTGAGGCTTCAGGCTGTGGGTCTACGAACCGGTGGGTGATTATGAGCGCTAGAGTATGACCATTTTTTATTTACAGTCTGTGTTTGTTACACATGTACAGACACACAACTTCACACATGATTTTAGTTTTTGATGACTACTAACTAACTGCTTTTGCTATTCCAAAGACGCACGTCCCAGTGGCCCCCAGGATTACAGGTCTGTGGCACTGACCTCCCACATCATGAAGACCCTGGAAAGACTCATCCTGGACCAGCTGCGACCCATTGTCAGACCACATCTGGATCCCCTTCAAGTTGCCTATCAGCCTCGTCTCGGAACAGAGGACGCCATCATCTATCTGCTCAATCGTGTCTACACCCATCTGGACCAGCCGGTGAGCACTGTGAGGGTCATGTTTTTTGACTTTTCCAGTGCTTTCAACACCATCAGGCCGACCCTCCTGGGTGATAAGTTAACAGAGATGCAGGTGGATGCTTCTCTGGTGTCCTGGATTGTTGATTACCTGACAGGAAGACCACAATATGTACGTCTCCCACAGTGTGTGTCTGACAAGGTAATCATCAACACAGGGGCACCACAGGGGACTGTCCTCTCCCCCTTCCTCTTCACCCTCTACACCACAGACTTCAGCCACTGCACAGAGTCCTGCCATCTTCAGAGGTTTTCTGATGACTCCGCGGTGGTTGGATGCATCAGCAGGGATGATGAGACAGAGTACCGGGCTGTGGTCGACTCCTTTGTCACGTGGTGTGAGCAGAATCATCTGCAGCTCAACGTGGCAAAGACCAAGGAATTGATAGTGGACTTCAGGAAAACCAGGAAACACTTGACCCCTGTTTCAATCCAGAGGGTCAGTGTTGACATTGTGGAGGACTATAAATACCTTGGAGTACACATTGACAATAAACTGGACTGG